GTTGATTTTAAATCTATTCATTCATTAACGATCGACGAACTATATAATTGAGTGTCTGTTGCAGGTATACCAATTCAGGTAAAATATTTTATCTACCACTATCATACTGTATATCTGTCCCATATAGTATTCAAGTTTTCCACTGTGACTATTAAATGTTTAATAACCATTATTAAAGTTTTTTCTCTGTGTTGATTGAACTATCTACGAAGAGAGAAGAACATCTAGCAGTTCTCCGTGCACGATTGACGTCAGTTCACGTGTCCGTAAAAATTGAATTACAGACACATCAACGTGTCTATAGCCTTAGCGAAAACCAAAACTTCAGTTGAGACTTCCGGTTTTCCGCGCGCAACATCTAACTATGATCAAACCACTCGAACCCCGAATTGGGGGATTCTGTCTTCTGTGAATCTGAGTTCTTGTTAGCATTTTATCCCGGTTAACCCGTCAGACACTCTAGATATTTAGCCGTCATTGATTTTATCCACAGACACAGAACACAGATTAAGCAGAGAGCTAGAGACTAGAGCCCAATGTCAGAACAGAATGTCACAGACTCATTTGCTTCATTGTTTTATGGGGTACTTCATGTTTTATTTTTCGAAATGAACAAAATATCCTAATCGCTGATACGCATTTACTTGGAGATTGGAGAATTAACGGATGATGAAGACCTTTTGGAAATTGTTACATCGTGGTTACATCCTAGAAGACCTTCAGAAATAGACCCAGCCACTTTTGAAATATGGTCTGATATTGAGTTCAAATGTAGGTTATGGCTAGAAAAACGAACTGTGAGATTCTCAGAAGAAATTATGTCCAAGATTGAAAGTGAGTTTCAGCTGAAATATCTGCAATTGTTATATAATTTTAATTCTTCAGGAATCATGTTCTCACACCTGATATAAAAGTGTTTGTAACATTGTGGTATATGGTAGTATTATGTCAACAGGATCCATTTTGCAAGTTACATGTGGTTTCAATGGAATTGATTAATTCTACAGCAAGTTGAGTTGTATGCTAAGTGAGAAGAACAATAATTGCTAGACCTAGTTGTACCTACATTAGGTTTCTTTAAACCTAAAGAGATATTGAGCAGACCAGACAAGGTTTCTTTAATATTGGTAGATTTCCAAAATGTACTGGAGCGCTAGACTGTGGACCACAAGCTGAAAATTATCTCAATTGAAAGGGTTTGTTCTCTCTCAATGCACAAGCAGAGTGATGCTGAGCTGAAAATACTGCGAACCTTGTGTGCTGCTGGCCTAGAGCTACTCATGATGCTTATATTTTTTGGAAATTCTAATTTGAGAGCCAAGTTGGAAAATTGAGATGCTGCACCTCCAGATAATGGGGAAATAGAAGCTGTTGTAGATTTTGTGGACAATGGACACACAAATATTCTGCCAACTTAATGTGAATAAATGCTAAAGATAAAATAAATATGTTTAATTTTTTATTATGGTTCCAATACTTACTACATCAACAATATTTCATTCTATTTTCATATATTATTAGGAATTAGTAAAACATTGTAAAACCTGCAAATGTATGGATGATGTATCTCTTAAATATGCACATGGAAATGATACAATTAATTTATGTTTGTTGAAATAAGTAAAAAAAAACCTTTATAACTTAGGTACAAGGCATGAAAGATACCTGTGATGTATATACATTTTTAATTAAATTGAAAAGATACCACCTAAATACAAAAATAACATTATTTCAGTAATCTATTCTCTTCTTGAAGAATTGTCATGTTCATTTCATATGTTCTTCTTTTCAGAATTTTATTTTATCCACAATCTCTGCTCTCTGCATGTAGATTCCATCATTTCTGTTCATGGTTTTACTTGCAAATGCTTGAGTTTGAGCTGATGATCTTCTATAAAAGCAGCCTTCTGAATTTCAGCAAGTTCTATTTTTGTAGCACTCCATATTATCAACTTGCTGTTCAGGGGGTTTCTGTTCTTCTTGGAAGTGTTGAAGTGATAAGTAGAGTAGGTATATTTTCCACACCTTTGCCATCACTGGACCCTTTATTTACTGGTACCTTTCCAGCTCTGAGTGGTGATGAAATTTGTTTTTTCAACATATCAGGGGTGTACATAGACCAGACCATATCTAATTTTTTGTCTGAGAACATTCTTCAACTGATTGAATCAACAACTGAAAAGAATATGATTCATATTATGTTTCTTCTTTACTTTCTCACATTTCTAGGAGCAGTACCTTCTGCTGTTCTAGTGAATTCAGGCAGAGAATACAATATTTCAAATGTTTATTCGTCTATAAAATGTAAAACCATAACTTCTATCCCATCATGCTTCTATCAGTCTTCTATCCTTGCTTCTTTTGCTCCCATTTTCAACACCAGGATGGTATCAGCACTAGGCAGCAGACATTAGTTCTGATTGTTCAATCAACTTCTAATCTACCATTGTCATCTCATTCAAACATTTTTGATTATCATCGAACAACTTTCGTCATTATGTGCAAAGCCTCGATCAATGTTTCCAACAGTAGTCGAAGTGCACCTAGTTTGTTTATGACTTATGACCACAAACAAATGAGAGTAATTTATCTATGCTTATAACATTTATGAGTTAGTCGAACTTTTGAATTGAAGGGAGGAAGGTGAAGCCACATAAAGGGAAGGGGGATCAGATGTGATCAAGGGGAAAGAGCAAAATATATTCCGTCTCCCAATTGGTCACATGAATCACATGATATCGTAATCACGAACGTTGCACGCATGTGCGAGCTCATAGAAATTATACAAATACACTTGGCAACACAGCAGACCCAGAAAAAATTATCACATTTTTATATGCAGCACAGAAGGGACATGGGAGATATTTTTTTAAAATTATTTTTCACATTTTTATAACAGCACTGGAGGGACATGAAGAAATATAATTTTGTTTTTATCTCATTATAATGAGATAGCTAACTCATTATATTGAGATAAAAAAATATCTCCCTCATTTTTATGCTAAGAAAATGTGGGAGATATTTTTTCAAAAAATATCTCACCATGTCCCTTCAGAGCTTTCGTATGTTTCGGACTTCTTCTAGGAGTTCTGATCTCCTCGTTTTGTTTAAATAGTTTTTCTGTATAATTATAAAGCCATCAGCTTCTTCTGGGAAGTTACATTCAGACTAATATTTGGAAACATTCCACGATTTTCTCGAAATTTCACAGAAATCGGTTGAGAATCGAAAAGTCATTGGGGATCTATTATTTGGTAAAATGTTTGTCTTGTATATATTTTTGCGGTTGGATGTATTTTGGGGTTTCACTTCTACTTTACGAAAATTTCATAGAATGAATCTGCTTCCACTTCATGGAACTTATGAAGTTTTCTCAAACCATTTATTTTCACTCAAAAACGTTCAACTTCCTAACCACAGTTGATGGATTCCATCGCTGGTTGCTTCTTCCAAGAGATGAGATCATGTTATGTTACGTGCACATGAAATTTAGCTTCAAGGAACTAAAAAGGTTGTACTACGTGGAGTATTGTAGCCTTTAGGTATGACAATGAGCGTATATTGGCGGATTCATAAACTTAAAGTTGACGTTGCTGTTCGCTGTTGTCGGTGCCGTTCAGAGTTAGAATATATGGAATGTTAACTGTCATTCATAAAAGCCGCTGCTGTTGACGTTGGCAGTTGAGGAAACGTTGGATGTTGTTCACAGATAACTATGTTTCAAATTTGGCGGTTAACGTTTAGTTATACCGTTCAACCATCAACCAATGAAAACAACGACAGAGAATCACGTGGCATACAGCCTTATTTGAGGTTATGTTACAACATTTTTGAAAGCAACTCGTTGCAAAGTTATCACTATAGATTTTCTTTTGCAGAAATGCCATGTCACCTATGTTGTCTCTGTATTCTAGTTTTAAATTCAATTTGATAAGTTTTCACATTCTGGAAGTGTCATTCTGGTGAATAAAGAATAGAGGGGCATTCCAGTTTTCAATTTTCTCGTAATAATTGTAATTTTTGGAAGCTCTTCTTGATTTATTAGTCGACCTTACTTGGAACCATCGTTTTCGTCGTGTTCTCTTCAATTTCAATGGAGCATACAACCATGAGACGATACCTAATGCAGCTAAACATCAATGTTGTCTGTATAAATTATCCATATTTTCATATTTTCAATTCACACAAATGTTCCCGAAATGCAATGAGGTTATGTCAAATGAAAGTTTGTTATATTTGAGCCAACGGCCAATCTACCAACGTCGAGTTAATACATAAAACAGTTGAACATCAGACGAACTGAACAGTGAACGGCAACGGCAACAGCGAACAGCAACGTCAACTTCAAGTTCATAAATCCGCCTTTATGGCTCTGAAACGTACTGGGGTTTGTTGTGTCGGCGTGAAATAGTGCGCTTCGGAGCACCATATCGGATATGGTGCGCTCTGTGCTCTACTGGGGATTGACTTCACGCCACCTGGTATTCATAAAAAAAAGATTTTATGCGGATACAGTCACCACATCAATGTTCAGAAGGAAATAACCTGTCATTCAAAACAAAAAACGTCCAAATGGGACGGAAAGTTTTGACGAAAATGTTCCCAAAACCTATGGCGACTTTTTGGTGGTGCGTTGCTTGCTTGGAGAAGTGTATACACCTATTTTGGAAAATTGATCCCATCAATGTTATTGCTCACTGCAATCATGATGTATTTTTATCGTTCTTGAGAGGTAAATATGTGATCGTGCATGAAATGTTGTATTTATTTCGGGCGCATAACATGCTTTTATGAACCAAGGCGTGTTAATAGCCCTCGCTGTCGCTCGAGTTCTCACTTCCACGCTGCGGTACATCATAGAAGCCTATTTTACGTCCTAGATACATAATTATGGATAAGTGATAACTATTAGATGACTTCCTGTTATTCATCACTTCTGCTCTCTCAGTAACATGAACCCCAATCAAATACTATACCTACATATTCTTCATCACTTCCAGACCAGAATACGTAGCTGAGGAGGCCATGAATGTACTCAAACACGGGCCCAATGGAACATTATGGGTGATCGAAAGTGGACAACCAGCCTACGAATTCAAGTTTCCTGAGAGGTTTGCACAAAAAGGAAATGTGCTATCTTATGATTGAATGTTTATTATGGAATATTTATCAACTTGAAATAATGGATGGAATCACCAGAGCACACAACACTACCACTAATAATATATTGTGATAGATGAAGAATATATTTTGTAAAAAGTTTGTGAATTATTTCGATTCGAATGGGCAAGTTGTATGGAAGATGATGAAACGACCCTTCAACTACTTTCCTCACAAAGCTGCAGATATGTCATAGCCAAGAATGCGAAGATCAAAACACCATCATTATTATTTCGCGACTTGTGTGTAGATGAAGATACCACTCATGGTCGGTGAATTCAATTCCAAAAGTAAAATATCAGATGGCCTGGTGATGAAATATTCATTTCGACACCAGTTACGTAATGAAAATAATGATGGAAGTAGAAAATAAATGAATGAAATCTGAAGTTGAATAAGCCATTTTCCACTAAGGAATATATCAAACGAGTTTATTTAGTGAATTTCGTTGCTGATTTTTGACCATATTGTTCTTTGACGGATACTCCAAAGTGATGATTAACTCGCCTTCAAAATTGTGTACATAATCAGTAGAAATCAAATTTTGAATTGACTCGGCCGTTACTTGATGGAAATCATTAGCAAATGTGAAAACTTCAGAAACGATGAGATTTCTACAACATTCTTATCCACACGACATATTTCGCTAACACTGTAGCTTCAGTTGGAGCTACAGTTGTTGCGAAACATATTATGTCGTATAATTGAGAATTTTGCGGAAATCTTATCGTTTGTGAAGTTTTTACAATAGAAATCATGTAGAAATGGTCATCATATCTGTTTCATCAAAATGAGTGAAAATATTGTACGTTACACGTTAGGAAATGCATTTTGTGTAACTCTGTGTTTTGCGAGTTCTCGCTTTACTCGTCAGTCAAAATCCTATCGTTACAGATGCGTTTCCTGACTAGTCACGTCAATATACAGTATGATGCAAATGTATGGAATAAATTCATTTCAAAACAAGACGACTTCCGAAAAAATCCAAAAACTAGACTTCAGAACTTTATTGATTGATTTATTTTTTAAACAGACGACCCTTCGTTGTTCAATTCTCAGTAGCAGACCTCTGCAAGATTCAGTTAATCAAATGATAAGCCATTTTAATTTCAATTTTCTCATGCAAAATGTTGACTGTTGAATAGACGATCAGTAGACCTTTCAAACGAGGTGTCACATGACCCCTCTGTTTTCATTTGAAAAAATCGTTCATTACGTCATTACTCCAACACCGGTGACGTAGCATCTCTCATATGGATATTATGAGATGAGGCTTCAAAGATGAAACCTCATGTGTTTTTGGAATTTTTTAAAATGTCGTCCATTTCTGAAATAATGAATTTATTCCATACATTTGCATCATACTGTATATTACCTACTACCAGTATGTAATGTGAAACATTACGACACTGATTTCAGTTTTCGTAATGAGCACTAGTGCGGTAAAGTGAAACTTGAAAAATAATTTCAAATTATAGTTGTTTACTCGAGAAAAAAAAACCGTAACTAATCATGAATACAGGGTGTTTCATAATTGAATGCTAATCCTCAAGGGCGATAATCCTTGGATGATTTCAAAGAGAAAAGTTCATATCAACATATGTCCTAAACCTCTTAGTTATTGAGCTACAGGGTGATGAAATTTCAAGAAAAAAATGAGTTTTTCATCATAATTTTTTATCACTCTTAGATATTGTTATGATATTTTTTATACACCTTCTCATTATCAAGGAGCATTATTTTACGTGAAAGATATTTAAAAATTCTCACCAGTGGCGTCCGTACGGGGTTAGAACTGACAATTTTTGAAGAAAAAATAGTACGCCACTGATTTTTCTGAGAACCAGATTTTTTCTTCTAATTCTTATTCATTTTGGAGCAAATTTGGTTCCTAGACTTACTTTCATACAACGTACCGTTTTCGCGTAAAAAAATAAAAACCAAAGAATTTTATTCCTTCAGTTCTTGGATATTGTTTTTGGTAATTCAGTAGACACCCACTATGAGTGGAAACACATTTTGTTTTGGGACAAAAATCAAACTTTTACTTTAACCAGTGATATCCTCGTAGACCTGATATCGAATGTTTAGTTTAAAAAAACGCTGTAGCTCAAAAACAAAGAGGTTCGGGACATATGTTGATATAAACTTCTCTCCTTAAAATCATCGCCCTTTAGGATCAGCAATCGATTATGAAACACCCTGTATAGCGAATGAATTGTGAGTTGCTTCATTTGCCGTGATTTTTTTCATGATCGGATTTTATGTTGATACATTTTTTGTATTTTTCACTTGTCCATATTATACTGCTTTATAAGACCTTGGCAACGGTTGCTATTTACAGACCCATAACACCCTATAGGGCGTCATAGAGGACATTAGAAATCATAACGCCCGCTAATTGTGTTTTCTGTAGTTCATTATTCAGAAAAGTCTTATTCATAGTTTTATTATACTAATTATTTTCTCTCATAAAGAAATAATGATTTTCGGATGTTCTTTAAAAATTAGTATCAAGTTTGAAGTTCTGTGAGTTGACCGATGATGAACTCCTCAATGTGCATTCGGATTCGTTCGGAACGTTAACATTTGCAAATTTGCGAATTTGTTCTTCGAGGAGATATACTTTCTTCAATATAGCTTTTCGGCACCGTACTACTCTTTCATTCTCCATGTTATTTAAGTGTTCGAAAGGAAGCACTATTACCTCCCAAGTAGCACACATATGTATATTGAGACAATATCGGTGCAATATTACGAAAATATCGGCAAAATATTTTGAAAGTAATATTGGCGAGAAAAAAAATGTATGTATCGGCGATATTGGTACAATATCAGTTTCAAAATGTGGGTAGAATATTGAAAATCAGCATGTTGCAATGTCGTCTCGAAAAAAATTGTGGAATATTTTCATATCAATAATAGTGGTTAAATATTGGTAGAGTTATATTGGTCACAAAATGTAATATCAATATTGGCGAGAAATTAATGGTGAACATTTGGCAATATTGATGCAATATTATACGGAAATATCGGTGAATCATTGAAAATCATCATGAAGCTATGTTGTCTCGAGAATATTGGTAGAATATTTTCATACCAATATTGCTGGAATATTCGTGGAGTTATATTGGTCACAAAATGTGATATCAATATTGCTGATAAATGATTAGTGGGCATTTGACAATACAAGTGCAATATTGGTTGGCAATATTGGTTCATTATTGAAAATGATTATGTGGCTATGTCGTCTACAAAAAATTGGTGGAATATTTTCATTCCAATATTTGCGAGTTATTCGCATTAGAAAAAATCACAAAGGTCAGCCCAGCCGGAGTGCAATGGGAGGGCCTTGTCTTCGGGAAGCCGCCTTGTTGATCACGGTTAACTTCTACTCCAGGTAATAATGCTTAATCGTCTAGGGCCAATATTTATATTCTCTCGTCTGATCGGCAATGGGAGTACCAATCATTTATAGCGCCATCTATCGACATCGGTTTGAGAGTGCGTGATATGGAATTAATATCGAAATTTCGATATCGATATGTATTTTCAGAACAATATGTGAACAATATTGCTCACATGATATAGTGAATCAGATATCAGTCAATATAAGATGATATTATTCTCTGAATGTGGCTGGAAAACTATTCAACCTATATGCAATTGAACTTGAAAATACAATATTGTTTTTCTCTCCTATGACCGATATGAAATATTGTCGCAACTCAGATGGTTTTGGTAGATTATTTGGCAAACGGCGTGTCCACCACATGTCGCAACTCAGATGTTGCCCTCCTATGGATCGCAACTTGGCTACTCGCTTGGCTTAATGAGAGGATTTTGATCATTTCACCATCCAACCCTATTCACCCACAAATAAAGAGACCGGACAGTTTTCATAGAAAAGTAACATTTATTAATTGAATAAAAAGTTTTATGAATAGATGCTGCCACATGGCAGGTTAACAAAAAGGAAAGAAAAGATCAACGCAAAACAACATTGGGAAAAAAACAGTACTTACATTATGACATCTAACATGGGTTGACCAGCAGGATCAAAGTCGGGAGGACGGTACACATTTTGGCAGTAACTCGTGAATTAGTAACTCAATTACGGAATAAAGTAAAGTGTTATCGAAATGCATTTTACTTAGTAATAATCAAATAGTAATGTAATCAGGAATGAGTGGTCAATAATAATCAAAAATCAGTAATGAATGGCTTATCGATTCGGGTACTATTTATATTCGGAATCGATGCTAGGTTCGCTATTTTCCACACGGGGAACGGTCGATAGCTTTTCGATACCGCTTACCTAGGTATTATCGCCGCGGTAAGCGATTTCTTTGCAAATTATAAAGGAAATGATGTCTATGAACTCCGCTGGCCTGATCGAACTGCAATGTACTGAATGTTTTAATTTGGAAAAGTTAATTAATGATAGAAGATCTTAAAACGAACGAGAGTTTGAGTGGTGTTAATTCCTAGGCATTTATACTTCTTGACACAGCTCCCCCCTTCAAGAAAACTGGCCCCCAGTTTTTCCCAAGTACCTATCTACTTTGAAATACTTACAACTACTTACTAACAATGGTGTAAAAAAAAATGATGAGAAAAAATGTGAAAATAGATCTTAAATATAAATATGGTAACAAAACAAAAATATAATAAAATGATGCAAGTATTGCTTATTTAAATGAACAGCATGTGAAGAAACAATACTCCTTTCATGAATGTGAAAGTCAATGAAATCGAGAAAAAAAAATATAAAGTACAAAAACCTTGTCGAACTGTCTACTGTCTATTGATAATGTCTTCTAATTGTTCACCGCGCATGTGAGAGTTTCGAAGAGAACCACACTAAATATTACTTGGTCCGGCACTGCACTTTAATTGTTTGTTGACACTGAACTCTGTCCTTCCAGTCATCTGAGGTTGCAGTTCCATTTTCCATATGTTCGTAATGTATGTCAGCGATGTTCTGT